TTACCATCTCTACTGGACCATTTGTAACTGAAATAGTGTAACTTTGCCTCTAGACCGTTTATTTGAGCCTATTATCAGAAGCGTGAGAGAAGGGGGGGAGGGGGGCTAACATCGGCTGTCGAACTGACCAAATGAGTTTTACATTCCTGTCATCCCTTCGTGCCAGAAGCTTGAGGACACCAAATGGCGCAATAAATCCAATAAATAGACGTCTGAATCGAAGTCTCTGAGTTTGCGTCTTAGCTTCAATCCCGCTTTCTTGTCCATACAGGTTACTTAAGGACTGCCACCTTTTGCGTGGCGCCTACCGGGCTATCTTTGGTCCTCAAGCTTAAGGCCTGGCAATCATGGCCAAGCCTTCAGCTTCATCTAAGAAGCTATTAATCAATTAATAAGAAGCACGGAGAAATGATAAGCCGGCTCATCTGTATGAATGGTGGGACCATAATATTTTATTTCGTTTTCATCGTCATACTACGACTCCTTCGGTTTTATTGAAGACAACGTCAGTTTTATTCTGGAATTTGGCAGACAGAGCTTGCACTGAGAACGGAACTCGGTTCGCCATGGAACGTTCAACGTCGTAGCCGAAGGCAAATGTTATCCGGCAATTCCCGCAGTTGTTGGTCCATGATCATCAGTGCCAGTCGGACCGTCGGAATGATGCGCCACTGGTCCGACTTTTTACCTCGTTTGACCTTTTCGTTCAATGCATCGACTCCGGGCTAAGCATGCTCTGCATGCGCGCGTATTCCCCTCCCATGCTAGTGTCTTCACTGGAACTTCGTCCCCGATTATTCGGCCTCGTCGGCACTGCGGCGTCAAACTGCTTCCTTCGTATTATTGGCACGGTCTTCAGAGAAATTCCAGTGATCCTCCACGGTGCAGAATCAACCGCCATGAAGGTGCGTTTATCAGACTGCGGGACTGTGAATAAGTCTTATAATTCCCATTTATTATCGTATTGGTATCGTCCGTCCCTTTCGCATATATATATTCCAATTATCATTTTTCCTAGGCGGTTGAGGCCTGAGGTTCTCTGAACTCCGACTCGGAGAGACGTCCACTAACGTCCATCAACATTCAACCCTAGAATTCTTGAATAACGATATGCTTGTTTCGCATTCGAAAGCGAAGATTCTATATTTGTTACTGTTCGTTTGAAGAAACGCGTTATAGCATCGGCCACGCCAGTACATCGTCGGCCCCATTATCATAGCGGAGCGAAGATGACGGCGCTGGTACTGCTAATTCTTCCTTTTTAATGATAGTCAAAGCAAGAAATTATCTTCTGTGCTGCGCCTTGCCTTTTTACGTTACGACGAAGTCGTGGGGCCGGATGGTACAAATTCCTAGGCCCTAGGTTGTTTTGTCAGCATTATTCTTTCGGCGAGACTGGCCTCCGTCATGTACCATGTCATCGAAGGCAATTGAACTTGTCGCCGCGGTTTATCGATACGCGAACATGCTTTTGGTACACGCTGTCGAAATACAAGCTGCCGTTAGACATTACAGCGTCATGTCAACTCCCATTCAACTCAGGAAGCCTGGGTTAGCAGCGAGGGTGAAGGCCTGTGAAGGTCTTACGAGAGTATGACAGGATCGAGGTAAATATAAAGTTGATTTACCACATAAGGTACCCGTCCCTAATTGTGGTGGGAAATCTCTCCATGTTCAGCGATGTAATCGGATCCATATGCAGGGCAGCTCCCGCTCGAATTGATGAGGAGCTGGGTTCCAACCCCATCTGAATGATGATGCCGGAAAGTTCCCGAAACTCGTAGACAGTTTTAGAAAAATGTATTGTATGTTCTGAAGCCTCGTGAGTCGTTTCGGTAGGTGAATAATCGGCGAAGAAAGAGATAAGAGCATAAACATCATCATGGTACCACTAGGTCCCCGTCCACCAAGGCGCCCAAGGTGGGCAAAAGAACCTTCTAATATCAGAGTTGTATCAGAAGTTTAGTCGTGGCTCCATGTGTGCAGGCGCTCAGTCTCCAAAAATGATGTAGCATTTGGCCTGGGGAGGGGGGCGGAGGGGGGGAATAGAGGCTCATTAGCCAGAACTTAAGTAGGCTAGGAAGCACAGAGAGAACCGGGAGCATTCAGAATTCTTAAGAGCTATGCATGGGGACCGGAAGTATACGAAAACGGATAGCCATGAGGGTGATTATCTAAGTCCTTCCGGGGTAAACGCCGCGTGGTGACCGCAGACGTGGGAAAATCTATCGGCACCAAAACTCCCGATTCCCTTCTTCGTAGCGAACCACCACCGCGTCCCCCCGCATACAGCGAGCTCGTCGTCCTCTATAGTGAGCACAGCGTCCAGAACAACCCGATTCTACCTCTTTTGTAGTGAGCTCGTCGTTACAGGCCGCCGCAAGCATTTCTGTTTCCGTATGTTCCCTCTTCTACCACGGTGTTCGTGCTGATTCTCTCACGTAGCGTCTCCGTCGTATCCGGCAGCGTCCTTACCTTTCTCTGCGATTTCTGCTTCTCTCCAACCAACTTTTCTTGTCGTGGGCCACCAGTTCAGCGTCCGATATACCGTCGTCACCGTATGTCGCTCTTTATCTCTACCACTTTTCTGTGTTGATTGACAACATCGAGCAGCGATTTCTCGTTTTCTTCTCATATCACATCTGTATCAGCCTCAACAAGATATCAGACACCCTCCTTCCGAGTAGTGATCCCATCTTTCATCTTTCATCTGTCATCTCCTCGTAAGGAACACTTTCCCCTCAGATCTGGCCCCTTTCTCACTCTGCCGTTGCAGCAGCTACAATGTCTTCCTTGGGTTTTGTCTTGCGTGGCGCCGTACAGCGGAAAAAACAACACAAGCCTTCGGCTTTACAACCAATCGAATGCCTCGTAACTCGTACGACACCACGCCCCGAACTTCCGCCGGAAATCTGGATGCTTGTCATCCGATTTGCGACTTGTTCGTACCCTGATCCCCTCGACACTTCTCGACCTGTTTCATTTCTGGATCCCCCTCATGTCACTCAGTTGCGACTAGCTACATACTACGCAACAATGCAACAAAAACTAGCTCTATGTAGGGTCAGCAAGCAGTGGAACGAGTGGGCGACCGAGTTCCTGTACGAGTTCGTCTGGGTCAATCGTGCCGGCCACGCCCGACTCCTCGCTCGTACCTTGGAAACGCCAGAGGGCAAGGGTCACGGTCGTTGGATCAGGAGACTTCACGTTCAGACCACGACATTGGACAAGTGCAACCCGTCGCATCTCCGTACCATCCTTGACGCCTCCCCCGATCTTGCCATCTACTCTGACCATCGATCCATTCGCCTCACTCTCTTTTCCGTCAACTCTCCTCTGGAGGAGACATGCACCCCCGACGACCTCTTCCAATCATTACCAACCAACCTCCGTCGTTTATCATGGACCTCTTACGAAGCTTCTCCGACTCCCACCATGCCCCTCTTTTCTGTTCTACACAATCTCACTTTCCTTGAGTTGCACTTCCATGCCCCTATACGTTCCTCATTTGCTGTGTCCTCGCCGTATCCCGTGTCTCCCACCCAGATTAATCTTCCCCAATTACAGACACTCAAAACATCCCTTTGCTCGAACACTTTCGAGCTTCTTTCCACCTGGACCCTTCCGTCGCTCTGCAATCTCTCGCTAATCTCACCTGACTTCAGTTACTCCTCCCCTGGCTTCCTTGCCTTCTTCTCCGCACATGGCGCTAGGATCAACCAGCTTGAACTTGGGCATTCCTCATCTAACATTCTTGAAGAGCACTACATCACTCCCACCCGTCCAGTCATAGGACGGCCAAGTCTCGCATCCCTCCTCCCGAACATGACTGAATTCATCTGCTCCGCAGATGCCGAGTGGAATTGGGAGAGCCCAGACTGGATTGCGCCACATGTGCTTCTTCCGTCTCATCCGCGGCTGCAGCTTATCGGCGTCCGTGACATCGGGAGAGGCAATTGGTTGCTGATTGAGCAGATGCGGAGCCTACTCAGGCGCGATGCATTTCCTTCCCTACGATATGTCAGGGACATGGGACCGGGTTTGCTCAAGGTTCGGAAAGAGCTCGAACCTGACGTTAGCATGCTGAGGTTCTGGCGAGCAGTCTGGGATAGTTGTAGAGGTCGAGGTGTGTGGTTGGAAGATCTCGAAGGTGTCAATTTTGTTGCGAGGGATTGGAAGAGACTGGGCTTCGATGTCCCACCACCTCCAGATGCTGTTTAGTCGCTCATGTACGTTCTTTGTTTTCGCTGTCGTTATCGTGTTTTCTTGTGCGTCCCCTTATTTATTTGTGGACATTCTTTTGTATACAGCCTTCGTTTCCATTCGCAGCACACACTGTATATACCGACGCAAAAAATACCAATTTGCATATTTGCTTTCTCTTGTGTCTGAACGAAGCGAAGGGTTGTTCATTTGTGTATGTAATTTGGGTGGTGTTACCCTGCTCCGCAAGACCACCAAAAAGTCCTCCCATTTTCAGGGAACATTCTACGGACTTGGCGTTGCCGAATCCTGAAGAGCTCATATTACCTTGGGATATTGTCGTCGTTGGACAATTCTTGGATTGGGTAGCCCTGATTAGGGTCTCAAGGGTTCAGGCAGCGCTCCCCTCTAGGTTCGTTCATTGGTTTCTTCGATCACGGTTCGTGCTGTCAGACTCGGATCCTGCGGAGCCAGTGGTGAGTATGCTAGCCAATTCTGGTACTTCTGTTCCTAACATCGACTGTTGTTTTTATTTGTTCAATGTCCGTGGTCCAAGAGTTTTAAGATATTGACTCGAGTCTGAACGACAAGCCTTTTTCAATTACCTTTATGTTCATGGACCGATCGGTCATAAATGAAATGTAGTCTGCGAAGAGAAGCGATTGAGTAACCAAGGTCGTACCAAGCAAAATTGTGAAGGAAGGGCGACAGTCATGCCGTCACGTTCAACTTCTTTATGTTGATCTTGACCGATGACACAGCACACTTGAACAAGGTGCAAAAGGTCACATAAGAGTAGCCCACCGCGAGGGTCGAACTCGCAGCCTTCAGATCCATCCACCTAGATAAAAGTCTGACGCTCTATCCGATTGAGCTAGGCGGGCACTACGTAAAGCGGCAATGTGTATTGTCATTGAGTGAACGCGGAGGCCAATTACTCTGGCTTCACTTGGAGAAGAAGGGTATATTACCTTGCTTGAAAAGAAGGTCTACCCAAGGTGACGGCCTTCCTTATTTAGTATGGTTGAGGGTGCCCGAAAACTGTAACTTTGGGAAATAATACCGCCAAATACTACATGTAGCTTGTTCACTCTTTCCGAAAACTGTAACTTCGAAAACTAATACTACCAGACACCGGCTTTCTTGCGCAATGCCAACTCACAATGTCCCCGAAACTGTAACCTCAAAAAATAATAATGCCAAATGTCTGTCGAGCCTCGGGGCCCCGAAGGCACCCGCCCCAACGTAGAAAGGACAGACCTAAAGGCTGTAGGCCTCAACTTGTAGGCCCCTTCGCTTTCTAAACGGCTTCAATCAAATCTACTTAGTCAATTCCGTTACATGGACTTGGATATTCCTCGGACATTCGTACTGGCAAAGCAGGCTTCGACAGTACAAGTCTCGACGGTACGACTTCAGTACCATCCATGCAAAATGCGAGCGAGCTTTTTGCACTTGCTTGATGAGGGAGATTTGGTCTGAAGTTGTAGTTTCAGACCAAATCTCCCTCATCAAGCAAGGTCACCGTTGGCGCTCGCGACGGGCCCTGTTCATTCTAGGCAGTGTTCAAAAACAAATGCCTCACCCGCCCTGAGTTACGTGACATCACTGTTGTCCTGCACACTTTGTATTGAAATTCATCGTTAGTTGAAGAGGTCGCTGTTCGCCGAAATTCCAAGATCGTGGAGAGGCGTGATTGAATCTCAGCATCAAGATAACTTCAGACCGAATAGAGAAAAAAACTGCTCGCGAATGACTGCTTCATCTTCGCCGGACGTTCAATTATGCGGCATTGTTGTAGGAGGGTCGTGAAGAGCTAGTTCCCCCTGTAATGGAGCTTTTAGTTAATATGTCTGTGTGACAGATCATCCAAGGCTAATATTCTAGTAGCTGCCCATTATCGTACTCTGCAGGACGGATTTCAATGGCGGGTCCGTAGGAAGTGATGTTCGTAAGCGAAGGCCAAGGTTTCGTATGTACGCAGAAGTTTCCATGCATTTTTCTTGCCTAGTCCCTTAGGCGTGAGCCTTATCACGCCCATCGCAGAGCGATCAGTCAAGCAATCGAATGCGCGCGTAACATGTTGGTCTCACGGAATTGGCAAGGGAGAACAAGAGAATACAAAGATACGTGTTCTGAGGAAGGATCCATACAGATTTTCGTACGAGAACGATGGCTTCGTAGCCGGCACGCATATAAGTCGTAATCTTCATGGTTGAAGAACTGGTACGCAGGGGGAAACAGCGAGGATGTATCCTTGACGCATCACAACAGACCAAATGCTGGAAAGTCTCCTTGCCTAAGAAAGCGTCGGGTCAGTGAGCCTCTCGAAAGGTCAAAACTAATATGTTCCGGCCAAATCTGATGTTGACGAGACTTTAACCCTAAAGTAAGTAAGGTTAGGTTTACATTCAATATCTGGAGGGACCTTCCCCAAGTCCTCACAACTCTGACTCAAACCACTACCATCACCCGTTCTCACCCTTCCACACCTCTCTCCCCTCACATTCGCATACGTTCGAGTAAACCCAAGCCTCCCTATCCATCTATAAGGCCTGCCTTTTGGTATTTGTCCACGAATGACACCGGGACGAGGACGAGGCCCGACCAACGAGAAGGCATGGTAATGATGACAACGCAGCGGGGTAGAGAGCCGCCAGAGCTGTATTTATCACCAGCGACGGCGTTGTACACCCTGTCGAGGGTGTCTCTCGTTATGCCTGTCTATGGTGACGCCCAGCTGGTCTCTGTTCGCCGCCATTATATATCCAATCCAGATGCGGCATGAGGTGACGGCTCGAGGGCGAGGAAGTCGGGTAAGAGTATCTTAAAAGGTACAAAACTGGGGTCCATGTTGACTAACCCTAAGGAATGCAAGGTTAGTTTCACATTCAAGATCTGGCGGGGCGACATACCATACAAAAAGCAGATCTCCTGGCTCTCACAACTCTCCTTCAAACTACCGCCATCGCCTGCTCTCAGCCTTGTGTACTCCCTCCCTCTTACGTTCGCACTCATTCAAGCGAATCAAAACCTCTCTATTTCATCTGTAAGCTTTTTCTTCTGCTATCGAATCCATGAATGACGATGGGACGACGACGAAGCCCTTCCAACTGACGGCAATGACATGCAGCTGCCAGAAGTGCATTCATTAACAGTGACGACGTTCTACACCCCGTCGAGGGTGTCTTGCTTTATTCCTGTCGATGGCAATATGCTGCTGATCACAACGGTCCCCGGCCGCCGTCATTGTGCATCTAGTCCAGACGCGTGTTATACAGGATCAGTACGCGCAATATCGCGCCGTCCTCACCGCCCGCCCTTGGTAAACCGCCCATTCTTCACGTCCGGCTGCCGTCCCAAAAAGAGGGAGATACTCCGACAGTGGTTCATCCATTGTTACGGAAAATCCGAGGAGGGCTGATGATGGAGCCCGCTTTTGCTTGTAGCCGGTCGAGCGCACGCGTTATTAGTCATGAAGACTGCGTGAACAAGACGGCATTCAACCTGGCTCTTCCGTCACTGGCTATTATCCACCCAAAGCTTCCGTGGCTAGTGGACATTCAGAGGTCAAGCGATCGAGATTGGGTCACGGTCGCTGATATTATGGAGACACTCTACGCATACTCGTCCCGTTGCGGCCGTTGTCATCGTTGTTGCTCCTCGAGGACGATGCGCCTATTGACATAGGTTGTGGGGCTGCGAAGAACGAGAAGTGGTTCTGCGATCCATCGGACTGGCGTATTTGACGGGAAGGACACAGTCTTTGGGGCACCGCGCCATAGACGGTGACACCTAAGAACTTCAAGTTCTTGTTGTTTAAGGGGCGCAAATCGCGTGTCGGGATCTTTGTTCCACGTAGCTGTGGACTCGGCCGCCACTGCAAACATATATCAGCTACGCTTAACAGACAAAGACAGTGAACTACCTTTGGATGAGCTGTCTTCGGTTTCACTTACCAGCACATGAAAGGGTATTGCCATCGATTCAACTGTCGACGGCCCTTAACCCTACGGAAAATAGGATTAGGGACACAGCTCGCATTAAACTTACTGTACGCCTGAAATTGCTGGTATACCGCTCTGGTCACCAATGAGACCTTTTTTTGGTGCTGCGATCCAATCGTCGAGCGTGGAGGTAGACAAGGTTTCTGCGAATCGCTTGCATCGGTCCTCCTCAATGGGGTTTGAGTCGCCACTGCACGAAGTGCTCTGCGATTGCACGTCGTCGCTATCCCGGGATGCGATCACGGTGTCACCCTAATCCGTCCATCTTGTGGCGAAGGGAGAGTCACGGCGATTCGGTATCACAATCACAATACGACACCGTGAGTATTTTGTCATCTTGATTCCGTCAGAGCCAGCGAACACTGCGGAGAATCGGCGGGGACGAGGTTGTGACATGGAGAACGCGGACGGAAAGCGACGGCTAGTAGTAAAGTAACCCGGCATCATGCTTGGCATCGTGCGCAGTCGAACAAAAACGGGCATATTGGAGCGCATCTGGAAAGTAGCTTGAGCAGGCTACAAAATGGTCACCATTAGAGCTCATTACTTCAATAACAGCAGCTACTACTCACCTTGCTCTACTGCAACATGAGCACGACCTCTCAGAGCATTCTCTCCATTGCGATGGATCACCAAGACTATCGCGTGATGTGCCTGTCGTCTACCAACAACGAATCACCCCAATCGTGACAGGATCTTGCACCAGTAGTATGCTCCTCGCTACGGCCATGTTGGTACTGAAGATCCAAACGCTGAACACTAGGGTGCGGCTATGGGACTTGGGAGGAGATGTCCATGAAGGGGTGCTTGAAGCGAACGGGTCCGTGTACGGAGACGAAAAGGAAACGCTGCTGAACAGGTTGAAGAGGCACAGGTAGACGTCATTCCGGTGGATGATACGAAGGTTGATTGCAGGGAGGACGAGCGCGCCATAAGTAGAAGAAGACCAAACGCTGTAGCAAGTATGGCCCTCAGGCTGTTGCTGCCGTCGCCGTTACTGGCCTTCCATCACCTCAACTGCCTATGCGTGTATCATCTCCGCGCCTCGCCTCTTCGCCTCTTCTTGCCGATATAGTTCCCAAGCCAGTACGACCATAGAATTCAGCGGTGGGTGAGATCTTGAGAGCTTGGTTCGGGTAACCTCAACGATGATTCTGCGGAAGCTCGCGCGCCTAGTATCCTGAAAGTGTATTGTTAAAATTAATCCAATAAAATTTTTGTAGGACCAACGCACCAGTACTTAGCTTGCGCTATCGTTTACTGCAGAACGAAGTCGTGATAGCGAAGTGAAGGGCAGGTCGGACTTTGAACTTCTGTCTCGGCATTGACGGCGCGTGTCCTTGTCCGAAGCAGCTATACGTTCTCAAAATGTGATTCTGCTGCTAGACGCTCTCAATTATGCCACATTTTTCTTATCTGCGAAATAATATTCGTAATCTTCGGGGCCAGGCGCCAATCCGTCAAGTTGACTTAAGAGGGATCGGTTTGTCGCTAACCGAAGAAAGAGAATTTTTCCACTTATCATCGCCCCATGTCAGATACTGACACACTATGTTCAGATTTCATACAGAGGGTCTGCAAAGAATATCTGGAGGCGGCATTCGTCGAGTCCTTTACTCATAGTTAAGCTCGAGTTGTTATTTGACGACAACCACCTCACCCGTAAACATAGGCATATGCGCTTCATTTTCATCGTCGTCTAGGTGAGTTTATCAGTCGATTCTGCGTTTATCCTAAAAGTCTCGTCGTCATTACCAGTCTCAAAACACAGCACCCAAAAATAGACTCACCGTAACGTCTTCTCCACGGTGCTCTTTAAGAATATCCTAGGGGCCGCATACCGAACCAAAGGAAAGAGCCAGATAATACGCAATAAA